AGAAATGTGGGTTTGCCCTTATCCTTCGACTTAAGTCAAACTTGCCTGAGGGACCTCTGCCCTTGCTCTGTGTTCCCACTGTCCATGCTAAACAAATTCCTCAGGGCTGGTTATCAAGAGTCCATGTGAGATGCCAGCCTCTAAAATTCAGAACCCTGCTGAGGCCATTGCCAGGCCACTCAGAGACTGTAGTTCTTGTGGGATTTTTTGGTCAAAAAGGGGAAGAACTCCTTGGCATTCTTGAGACCTGCCTTGAAACTCTAGCACACTTTTATCTTCCCTTTGAGAACACCAGCGAATTCTTCAAACACAGCTCATTATCTCTTAGTTGAGAACTTTTGGGTATGTGAGTGGAAGATTGAATATCTAATAGATTTTTAAAAGTTAGATGAACAGGAGGATGAGTGAATGATAGGCATGAATGTAACAACGGGTATGTCTCTCTATAGGAAGATTCAGAACAAAAAAAATTTTTTAATAAAACATGGGTAAGGGCCATAACTGCATTCTAGAGAGCTAAAAATTGCTTAGCTGTCCCAAGCTAACCTTTTTCTAAATTGCTTTCAGGTTCTGATATTGAGATGCTAATACAGTTTTCTCCCCGCAACTAAGTGTAGTGCCCCGTCAGCATTAGGTTTGCATTTCAACTTTTTCCTGAACTTAGTGTGTGTTCTAAGACAATCACTTTATCACCTATCATTAATATCAAAAGGGAAGCCTGGTCTTCTCCGGGGCTGTTGAGATTTTAGACCAGAAACTGCTCAGAAGGTGGAGGATAGTAGTTCATTGTGTATCAAGAGCCCGTGAGACGTGGCTCCTTCCCACTTCCTCTCCTCTCTTCAGAATAGAAATTTTCTTCTACCATTGAATGGAGGACATATACCACCAAATATTCTCAGCAAATTGCCCTATGATTCAATTTAGCAAGCATGCTATTGATTATAAGAGAAATGCCTAATGTCAATCCTCATCATTACATAAAACTTTCTTAGGACTTGCTTTTGCGTACATTATTGCATTTTCATTCTCGCAGAGCCTTACCATCCATCCGGCTTACTCTATCGTGCTCGGTGATTCTCGCCTCACCAGTTTCAGGCTGTCCATGCCTAGGCTGGCCCAGGTTCTGCCTGTCGCATTTTCCCTCGGGTGTTTTCACAAAAGCTGTTGTTTGGCATCGGTCATCACCCCAAGAGGAACAGCAGAGCCTAAGCTAAGGACAGAGGGCAGCAGGGGCTGGGGCTGGAACTGCGTCCGGATTCCAGCTCCAGCACCACCTCTGGAGAGATCTGGGGGGAAGGTGAAATCTCACCAGGTAGTATTCAATGGAAGGGATCTTCCCAGGTGGCAGGGGGCAGACTCCCTTCCAGCTCTGGGATTCTTTGGAACTGACAGCAGAGTGTCATTTAAATTCTAGGTACTGCATTTTCAATTGTTTTAAATGCTGATTGTATTTCATTTTTAAAGTTAATATTAATATTCATGACTCCCATTATGGCTGAGTCCTTGGCTCACTCCCTGTAACTCCAGCTGGGGCAGTAAAGGGAAAAACCAAGGAGTTCAAACTGTGCATTCCCGGGTGAGGACAGGTGTTCTAGGTGGAAACATCTCATTAATGGTGTTGGAGGGGGAGAGGGTGGATTGGCACTTACTCTGTGAAAGCTAATGTTAAAGATGACATCTACTATACCTCATTTCATTCTTCACATAACTCTGATATGCTCTTTAAAACTCCAGTTTTGCATATGGGGGAACAGACTCAGAGAATTGGTTACCTGACAAAAGCCATATTGCTGAGAAGAGATGTATCTAGGGTTCAAATTTGTGTGTGACTAATTCCAAACTTGATATTCTTGATGATTACCTAAGCCTGCCAACAAAGAAATTGAACAGCCCTGTGTGCATGTGTGCCCCAGAAAACTAATCTGCAGGAAAGCAAATAAATGCATGATCGAGGAACTGATTGCATAGATGCATGCAGGTGGCAGGGTTCCTATGGGTGATCATAGCCGACACTGGTTCCAAAGTGTCTGAACCAAGTTTTAGGGACAAAAACCTGACTTTCAGCTGCCAATGGGTCCTTCCAAGTCAACTTCACTGACGAAGAAACTTCTGATCAGCTGCCAATGTCAATGTTCGTGCTATTTTTTTTAACATCCTATACCTTCCCGCACCAGAACACAGATACAGCAGTAAAAATATGTCTAGTGCATTTTGAAAATGTCTGCCACACACAGAAACCCATGTAGTGTTGTAGAACAGTTGTCAGAATGTGAAATGTGTTACTTTGAGAGGGTTGCTGGTGGACGGTAACCTATTTCACTTACAATCTGATGACTTTAGTAAAGTAGATGCTCCTTTTCAAATGAGACCTACCTAGTCAGTAGAAAAAGGGGAGCTTCTTTAGAGTAGTACTTGCATGCAAATACTATCTTCACACAAGTACCCAACCCAAGAGTTGATAACTCGGGTAATCTAGAGTAGGGCAGAACGCTTTCAAAAGCTAAGGCACTGAACTGAAATTTTCTTAGAATACATTTGCTTACCAAAAAGTTTTAAACCATAGACAGAACAGAAACATATCTATCTTTCTATCTTGTGACACAGTTACCATTTCTTTTCTTTAAGAAGAAAGCCTTGTTTCATTTGGAAGTGATTACCCCTTAGATGACCAAATCCTGCCCCCAAATGCCTAATATTTACTTTGCCTTTGAAGTATAATAGTTAAAGTTATTTCCCCATCTGCATGATTTTCTTCAAAACTTCTTCAAGCCTGTCCAGTTATGACAGAGACCAAGATTCCACAATGTAAATGTGCCTCATTAATCAACTCTATTATTTGGGGGCATAATGAACATTTTGCTGTTTGACATCTGGTAGTGATTTGCAGTGTAACAGAAATAAGAATTCCTAGTTTACAAAAGCCCACATGTATGATTTGATTTCTTTTGGTGTACATATATACACATACATACATATTAAATATGTATGTATATGTATATATAATTCCCCTGCTGCTGGTTTTCTTGGAAAAAAAGAAGGTGGAAGCAGGGGAGCTATCTGGGTGAGGTTACATGATAAACTCCATGTAGATTTATAACTAACTAGCCAGCTTAGAGCAAAATGTTGTGTGAGCTATATAATAAGTAAAATCTGGTGTTTATGTAGCTCTGAGGCTGGCTCACACCAGTTACTAGTGAGTGATATCTAAACAAAAAATAATTTCTACATAAACTGTGGGTTTGTAAAAATGTAAGCACTATATTTTTGTGTAGTCTGAAAGAAGGTATTCTTTGAAATAGATTATTAGTGTAGGGTCTGATTCCACCCCCTGTATTTTTGAGAGGTTTTCTTTTTTTTCTTTTTTCTTTCTTGGAAGACTGATTCAGGACTTGGGACTTTCCCAAAAAGTCAACACGTACTTATAAAAATCTTGCTATGCGATACACTGACTGAAGTGAAGTTTATGATTTACTTCAAGTCGACTTTGCTACTGTGCAATGAGAGCTTTCAGTGAATGCATAATCATTAGGGATGTGCAGCCTCCAACTAAGCCATTAGTGTGCAGGCAGGCTTCTTGGTCATATTACCTTACAAACAACACCGATGCTATGTTAATGATTAAATATATATGAAAAAAAATCACTCGGCTGGAGGCGGAAAGAAAAATGAGATTAGAAAAGATTTTCAAATCATAGGAATTAAGCATTAATGGGTGCTTGTTTAGATTTAAGAAATGCAATACCTTCTTCTACAGTGGGCTATGAAATTAAGTATTTATCCCTTTTAACAAATTCCACATGTAATGCATGGACATGTCGATGGTACAGTTACGATATTCTTATGAAGAACACTTACAAGGCTTCTTTGCGGATTCAGACCTCTTCAGGATCCTCTTGTCAAAGTCTCTTCTAGTTATTCAAAGAGGTCTTTGTCATCTACACAAAAGTCAACTGAAACTAGAAGGCAAAGGTGGGGATGGGTGGTTGAGTGGTGTTAGTGAAAAGACTTGCCACCCAGACATAACCCAGAATTTGAATCTGAAGGCCAGGTCCGGTGGTTTCTCTCTAGTTCCTTTGCACACCCTACTAAGTCAAGTCAAAGCTGGCAAGACATTTCCTAGTGGTTAGTGTTCTGGAAAGAGAATGGCTTCTTGCTATATTAGTTGTTACTCTTTCTGTTGCAAATAACAGAATCTCCCTGAAAACTAGTTTAGGAAAAGAAAGACAATGTATTTGTCTCACCAAATGAAAATTCCAGGTGTATAGCTCGCCTCAGGTGTGATGGGATTTGGAATTCATACATTTTCATCATGGATCAGTTTCTTGCCATACAGTCAGTCTACCTTTCACGGTGCTGGCTTCATCCAGCTCCACATACAGATTCTCCAAAGCTCCAAGCTCATATCCAATATTTGCCTTAGACCCAGGCAAGCTTGGGCTCCTGTCCTGCATGCATGCATTCGTGGGCCCAAAGATCACAAACACACAAGACTGAACTTCAGTAAAGACACAGGGGTGTTTCTGTTACTTGCGTTTCTGAATTTAGCTCTGGCACAGTGCAACCTATACATTTGCTCTTGTGACTAATTCTCTTTAGACCCCAGGGAAATGCTTCTTCTTACCACTTCAGAACAATAGCTGCTGCTTCCAAAGGCTGTGAGGTACGTGGGGTCGCCCGGTGACTGCTGACACAAGAGGTGGTTACTGCTTTGTAGGGCAGAGACTACTCAAGCAGCAGAAGCACTTAGGCGAGAGAAAAGAAAATTTCATTAACCTGTCAAATCCTCTTCAGAGAGCAGGAATGTAATAGCTTCTCCCATAATAAGGTATTCTTTTCCAGTGGCATTGAGTGTCCGTTTTCTTGCTTCTCTTTCTATTCCAATGCATGGTTCTGGAAGAACACATGATTTAGCATAATATTTACAATAGTTGGACATAGTGCCTGAGAAATATTTTGTAATATTAAGCAATTTGATTTTTCTTAAATTTGTACATATTTAGGTTGGGACAAACAGAAATGAAGCATGAGAGAAATTATTTCAGCAACTGGAAGGACATGGAATGCTAGAATGGTAAATAGTTTTCTTTTTATGAAAATATTCAACGATTTAGTTGTTTCAAAAAAATGTTTAAATGGGTTCATTTATAAACACTCACTTAAAAATTGTACACAGATCAATTGCAATTCATTTATTATCTTAAAATTTTGAAGGTGTTTTGAATATTTCAGAAAAAAATTTTTGGAAAATGTACCACAATTAGTTACTTTCCTAATTTAAAATTTACTTTTTATATGTTTTATGATAATACATACAGCAAAGTATATGAAATACAACAAGTTTTGGTTAAATTATATTTTGGTTTATCCTTAACCCTTACATTATTCAAAATAAGTTGAAACAAATGTTTTATTTTCTAGTCATATAAAAACAGTAGCACTAAACATGTTTTTAAATTTCATCAGTATGCAAGTATTTCAGTCAGGATAGGTGGCTAGCACATATTTTATTTAACCATATATTATGTTGAAATGTAACTTTAAAATAATGTGTGAGTGTCCATTTATATTCTTAACCCAGGCTCTGAAGGTGTTCACGGGCGGGGCTACTCACACAATTTCAACACCAAGTAGAGCAGCAGATATGGCCCCAGAAAGGAGTGAAAGAAGTCTTGCTCAAATATGAAGTCCTAGAACTGAGTTTTATTTGTACCGATTGGCCCGATTAGTCCAATCTCTATTAATTTATATCTGCTGAACACATGATTAATACTGTAGGGAGAAAATTCATTGACCACTAGTTTTAGATATGGTTAGTTTTACAAAGTGAACAAAATGTGAAAATTTCTAATATGTGATTTTTTAGAAAAAAAAGCTTAGCTGAAGGGCAATGATACAGACATTAAGCTTGCTTCCAGGTGCCACTTGTAGAAATTTATTTTTGGTTAAAGAAAATTGTTTTTGTTACATAAGGTGGAAATAGAGATTAAGAATCAAAACACTAGAACATTTCCTACATTCTAATAGTTTCACTAGCAACTCTCTCCACAGTTCATTCCCTGCCTAAAAGATTGCCTGTGCTTGTGTAGACCCAGAACCAAGAGCTAGATATTGACATTACTACACATATAATCAGATTATCTCTTAGTTTAAAAATAGGTGATAATCATCTAGAAATATAATCCAGCAAGATATTATCTGGTCTTAAATAGTATATAATTAAAACCGTTTCAGAGGATGCAAAAATCAAGTAGACACTTAACTAATAATTGTAACACCAATATTACATTTTAAAAATGTTTTATGTTTTTTTGAAATGCTCTAACATCCATCAGCTTATCTGATGACTAATTGGGACAATGTGGTCAACCAAACTGACTTGTTTTTCTTTCCAATTAAAGTATGATGCTGTCCAAAGCAAGATGGTAGGAATCTTCCTTAGTTTGTTCTACAGTTTGGTCATTTTTTTTTACCTTTATGGATATTTATAAATATTTTGATCGATATGGATGTTATACACATGGATATATGACAGGAGTAGAAGAGGTCTTAGAAACAAGGCTATTTTATTTATCTTGGATATTTATACCCAGCCATGCCCTTCTTCAGTTGAGACAAATATCAGTACCTAAACAGACAAACTAAGCCAAAAATAAAGAGAAATACTAGTTTCCCTACTAAACATAGGTCTCAGTATTGTATATTTCAAGGATTCACTTCTATTTAAATCATATAGAATTGATCAGAAATTGATAAAAATCGAAACAAAATTGTCCATTCTGACACATGACACCAAAATGTTTGCTTTTGGCCTTTTTTGGTCATTTCTAGTGTTCCTAAATATTAACTATATGGCAGTCACAAAGGGATTTGAAAGGACAACTTAGTAGAGGTTGCCAGTATTGAATGCCACAAAGGACATGGCGTCACCACAACTAGCATCAGTCTTCAGGAGTGATAGATAACCAGACAGAGCTCTTTGCCTTCCGTATCTTCCCAGGGACATATTTACTCTCAATAACCAGACACGATACAAGTTTTTAATGTAACTGGCTAATATGGTTATCTTCTCTTCCGGATTGAAATCAGCTTCTACATTTATCAAAGACGGCTGCTGTGAAGGGCAAACAATATTGGCTTCATTTATTCATTGACTCATTCTCCTGAGAAATCTTTATTGAGCAGCATTCCCTTCAGCTAAGCATACCTTCCCTCAAGTAAGTCGTACAGGATAAAGTTAGGTCAACAGGGAGCTAGCTGATCTGTTCTGTAGGCATCTTACTTGCCCATATTTAAATCCTAACCTTGAGAAGAAAGCCAAGACTTTGGCTGAAACTACTCAATAATGTTCTGTTGAAAATGGAGCCGACCTAGTGGGTCATAGTTCACTCGCCTTTCACAGAAGCCCTTTCTCACGCACGTTCTGCCTCCCTTTCAATCATCCAAAAGGAGATTTCTAGGGATGCTTCCAAGTCTCACACTGAGAAGGTACCGTCAGCCATTTCGTTCTTCTAGACAGTTAGCCAACTACCAATATAATGTTAGGAAAAGAAAATGTCTTTTACCATTTAAAATAAAATACTGAAGGTGGGTACTTAATATACTAAAATTCAAGGAAAAGACACTCTTTAGCCAGTATATTTATTGTTTATTAATTTCCTTGGTCTATTACACTTTCTGCTGGTCAAGGAAATCAAGTTCCTCCCTATGCCTTTAATTTCTTAACAAAATTGCTGTAAGCATCAGGAACCAGTATGAGGCCCTGCTGTGCTTGAGCCAGATATGGAAGTGTGTTCTTAGACTCCACAACGGGAGGTGCTAAGCCAAGTGTTCGTTATTGAACTGCAAAAATGTTTATTGAAAGGATATGGTGATATAATGAGCATAAAGCCTCGAAACTTTATATATAAAGTAGGTGATTTCACACCATGGCACTTCTTTCCTGAGTGTCTACACAGCCATTGCCAGCCTCCTACACTCCCATGTCTGCATGAGGGTAGAGTTTTGGGTATGTGTGGGCTCAAAGCTAGTCCCAACAGAGGTGGGTAGACATGGCTGAGCAACTGCCTGAGAGGCAGGGCAACCCCCAGTAGATTGTTCTGAAGGCTGCGTGCTGTTGACTTGCACTGTGGTACAGGGTTACCCTGAAGCACTTCCAAGATACTTCCAGTGTGTTGTGAAGATGACCCTCTCCACTCAGAAGATTTCAATGTGGAATTCCCCTATTAAGTAAAGTAATTCGTTGTCTCTCCCAATGATAGAATGTAAGTCCTAAGGCAGACTTGCCAGTTGCTGTCTACCTACCATAACAAAAAAGGCTCTGGCACTTTGTCTTGCCCATGATAGCTGTTCAGTAAGTGATTGCTGCCAACCTCATTGCTGTGAGGGCAGGAATCACACAGTGCCACGTCTTCACTTGTTCCAGGGAATTGAGTGGGTACCCACAAAAGGGGGTGTAATGGGGAAGAAAGCATAATCTATTTAGGGTTAAAGAAATTCCTATTTATATGGTAGATTTTTGGGGGGTAGACTAGTATGGTAGGTTTATTTTTGAAGTCTCAATCTTTTTTCAGTCCAGACACAATCCCTTTGCCTAAGACTCCTACATCCATCCCATAACACATACACTGTCTCACACATACATACACACTCTCTTTCTCCCTCTCACACACACACACACCCCATTAGCACACACATGCCACAAATAATAACCCTCTACCTGGCTAAACTCCATCGACTAAGTCTCAGTTACCACTTTTCACTATCCTTGGAACCAGAATGCATCCTTGGACCCTTTAAGTACCTTAGTCTTAGAAGCACCTTAGAAACAATCTCAGATTGTCCCCAGGGTTGCACAGTGCCACCCTTGCACACTCTGTCAAGTGATCCCACTGACCCTGAGCTTGCCAGAATTACACAGAGCAAGTCTAGGTCAGTGTCCTTAATTTTCAACCAGATTCACGCAGTTTTGCAAAAAACAAAAGACCCTTTCTTTAATATCAGTAGACACATAACTAGGGAATTGTTATCTCAGGAGTGTGAACCTCTGACCTCTTTAGGCAGGAGCTAGGTAGACAGATGATGAAAGAAAAAGTCTGCATGGCCTCCATAGGCCTGGGGGTTATCCCCAGAGTGAGAAACTCCTTTGAGGAGCCGGAAACCTGTGTGTGCAGCCTGTGGAAGCGGAGGCGGGGGACAGGAGGTGGGGGAGGTTGGTGGGGGGGCATTACTCACCTTTGATTCAGTGCTGGAGTCTCAGCATTGGCTTCGGCTTTGCTCTGATGCTTTGGGTTCACTTAGTGGCCCAATTCATCCTAGCTTCCATCAGCTGCAGATCAATTTCTAAATTGTTCTGGGAAAGCCACATAATGAAAACTTGTCAGTGAAGAAAAATGACTAGCGTCAGTTGTAGCCTCACTCGTGACCAGTTACTAGTGGGGGTTTAATGTTCATCTGGTCTCCCTTAGTGGAATATCATATACACCACCTTCCTAATGTGCATGGTGGTGAGAATTAGTTTTTTGAAACTACAGGAGAGCCTATAATTTAGGGACTTGGGGCCATAACCACAGCAAAAAAAGAAAGGATTAGGGTCAAAAATAGAATAGTTCAAAAATACCATTGGAAGCATTTTTACCTAGTGTGAAGCTTTTGCTGAAAGAAAGATCAGCCTGTATACTCATAACCCCTCCTTAGAGAACATTAAACTCGGAAGTATGGTTCTGGATTTGTTGAAATGATACATAAAACTCAAAACTCAATGGCTATAATTAAATCATTTTAAACCTCAATCTAAAACACAATAACACATTCTTCAAATAATTTTGTTCTGTGCAAAGGATATGAACACTTTAAGAGCAGATATTTGGAAATTCTGTGTTTAGGGTCATTGTAAGTTCTCTAGATAGGCAAATTATTTCAAGGTGCAATTCCATTGTAGGCAAATGAAGCAATTTTCAAACTCCACCTAAACAGGTGACAAGAAAATATTGGGGACTAATATGATTTGGGTGGGGGATGTGTTCCATGCATCTGCTCTCACAACTAGAACATATCATGGAAATCAAGTT